CTCATTCAAGCTTTGCCTCTCTGCCCCCAGAAAAGGAGTCCTGATTCGATGTTATGGTCCTATCGGTACGGCTTTTTGGCGGTCTTTTGACCCATGCCTGGGGGGCAGACAAACGCCAGAGTGGGCCCACTTCTAATTCTGGAACTGGCCTGAGAAGGCTTCTTGTTGTGCAGGATTTGGGGGAATCGGCCTTTTCCAACCTGGTGGCCCCCACACAAGTATCGGACTGGTGATTCCGCTTTGTCTGGGTCTTGTTTCAAGTACGTTTTCCCATGATGTTGTCATTTTTTCATTCTTTCAATAGATTCCCGTATCTTTCAGCTGCCTCGAGCACCATCTTCTCAGTGGAATGGAAGGGCGCACATCCAATCAAAACAAGAAATGAGGTGGAGGAAGGAAAGGTGTTCCTGCTTCACAGGAGTTTGCGCAGAGCATTGCTGGTCCTTTGAAGCATCTCTGGTTGGAGAAACTCACGTCCTTGGGCAGCTGATGGATGATTTTCATGATTTTGATACTTGCAAGCTGCTGCAGAAGCGTTTTTATTCTGAAGGGGAACATCTGAGTAACTTCCATGAACGCAGGACTAGTACGCATCATCCAGAATTACTTTTTAGATCCCGGTTGGTTCTTTTGGAATAACAAAGGGTCAGATCAGCACAATCATACTGCGTTGTCGCAACTGTTGTATTGTCATCATCACTGTTGATATATATTATTATAATACTGCCTTTTCACCGCAGACTCGTTATTATTCAGTACTATTTGTGGTCTGAGTGACTGGAAGGAACACCAAATTCTGGAAATAACTGAGCCATTGTGAAAACGCCTGTATTCCAGACACCTTTTGCACAGTTCCTCTGCTTCTTTGACCCAGTGGGAGATTCCTGGGCCCCACGAATGCGGCACACGGTGGGAAGACAGAAGGGAATTCTGGGGGATTCGAGCTGCCAAAGGGCTGCAGCAGTGGCCTAATGCGTGCAGCCGATCGCCGGTTGAGTCAGAAGTGAACGCCGTGGAGTGGCAGGCAAGCCAGATCCATCATCCTTAAGCTGCCCAGGGAAACACCTCCGTGATTAGCCTTGGATTTCATTTCAGGCCCTCTGTGGGCACTAAAGCCGTATGCCGAGGCTGCCGCGGCCGAATATAAACAGTGGGGTTTTTTCTCCAGAGGTTGGAGCAATTGCTGTTAAGCAAAGCTGGTTGCTTAATCTTTGGTGGAAGGAAGCCTGGAGATCAGCCACCTTGTCCTGTGGGTTCCCCTTTAAATGAAGATGGATTCAGGTCTTCAAGGGTGTCTTGGATCCAAGTCATGGCTGTCCCAAGCCTCCCAGTATAAAATACAGCATTTTCCCCTTCTAAATACTTGCCCTGTCTGTTGGGTTTTGCACTGTTCTGTGGCGTTCTTGTTTTTAACTCTTTGCTCCTGCCCAGATTAGTTATGACTTTGGTTATGCGGCGCATTAGAAATTCGATAATGAAGAAATAAAGTATCTACCGTCCAATTAGCAAGGTGCCTTCAAGAGGCTTTGCAATGATTCTAGAAAGCAGAAGCACCACACCAGACTATTGTGGCGGGGATAAAAACGGAGCGGAGCAATGCAGAAGCCTCCTCAGGTCCCTTGCAAGAGGAAGCAGGCAAGGTAGAAATGTCAAGCCATCGTAATCCAGCCAAGCAAAGCCCCCACGGAGCTTCTGCTTCCTGCCAACATGAATACTCAGGGCCAAGGGTTCCTCCGAGCTTTTCCTCTGTTCCTCTGGAGCACGCGCGTTTGCCCTGCACTCATCTTTGCAAGCCAGCTCTCGGTGGCCGCGGGTTGCCGGAGGGAATGGTGGGGCGGAAGCACCCCTTCCCCCGCCCCAACCAGAGCCGTATTTCTTAGGCCCGTGAACAGAGAAAGCTGTCAGCTTAGCTCGGCTGGGGCTGATCAAAAAGGACTGAACAGGCTCAGTTGCACGGAGATGAGATGCCGCTACAAGCAGGCGGCGATTACAGGGCGGGCGCTGTCAGCGCTTAAAGTAACTGCGCCAGCCCTAAACACTTTAGAAGAACATGTCACACTCGGCTTCTCGCCCGCCGCTTCACCACCGACGACGTCTGCGCAACACTGCCAGTACTCTCGGCCTTTGCTGCCGGTTGCTGTCGACAGCACTGACAAAGGTCCGTCCCATGGCGATCACCGCCATGTGGTTGTGCTAAGGCATCCTGTCGGGGTGGCTGCAAACTACAAACAGGCCCGTTGGGGGCAGAACTGGCGAAGGGCATCCGGAAGCCGACAGCGGATACCTCCGTCCCGAGCTGAGCCGAGCCGTGTGTCCTCCAGGGGCAAGGCAAAGCCAGCCAGCTTCAGATGCAGGGCCTCCTTAGCAGTGGCTTCCTAGATGGCGGCACTCTCTCCAAAACATTAGATTGCCTGGCTCTTCCTCTCTCACCTTCTGGAGGGGCAAAACCAGACCTCTCTTGAAGTGCTACTGGGCGGTAGGGAATGAAGGCCGGGGAGACGTTTTCAAAGGAAAAGCAAGACGGCCTTTATTGTAACTTGCTCAGACTGCAGCTTTATTTATTGTACTGGATGCAAGTTCCTTTGAGGCGGATGTGGTTGCGTTGGCACTGCTGCAGCATCTCCTGTGACTGAGGGGGGTTAACCCCTCGCCACATGTTTCCTTAGCACCCCCCTACAAGGAAATCCACTCGTCTTGCAGAGGGGAAGGCTCTAGATTGAGGGACTGGTTGTGTGGGCCCCCCGGGGAGTTGGTGAGATGCCCAGGTGAGGCAAGGTGTGAACCACCCATTTCCTGACGCACAACTCATCCTCTGGACCTCTGCCCACAACATCTACTCTCAGCAGTGCCTGAGACTGATCCGGAAAATGCAGGAGCCCTGTGGGCTGCACAGACAGCCCGATTCCCTGCGGCAAAGCAACTGAGAGAGCGAGCATCAGACGGCGACTGCTTGTGTCTCGTCCTCCATCACTCTTCAGGAGGCCCGTCAATCTCTTAGTCACGAGATGCCTCAAGACCTCTAATGCATCGATTCCCGACGCCTTTCTCTACCAGCTCTTTTCTTCAGCCGCAGCTGCTTCTTTGCTACATAACTTAAAGTCTTCTCGCAAAGCGGATAGAACTCGCGTTTCTGACAGTTCTGAAAGGGATGGGCCGCGGCGCCAACGAACCATCTGCTTGCGGTGCCGCGGCTCAGACATTTAGCATCTTTCCTCCAGGGGTGGGTCTCCCTGCTCTTAACGGCTCTGAAGAATAAGACGACAAGCAAAGTACCTCCCCAGCCGATGACAAGCGAAGAAACATTGCATTAGCAGAAAGGGGAAGCAACTGTCTACTTATCGACACTGAAAGAACAGCAAGCAGAATTCATTGGCATAGAAAGCCAGGCAAGGATGGAAGGCCAGCTCGGAATCAGCAAGGGATGAAAGGTGAGCAAATTAGCATACAATCCTGCTTTTCTAGTAATTCAATTAATACTTTTCTAGGAATAGTAGAAGTAACAACAACGATGTTCTTGCTTTTCAAAACATTTGAGGACCAGCGTGTGGAGAAACATTAAAAACATGGCTCAGAATGGGGGACATCCGTGGTCATCCAAGTGACAGGTGATGCCGGGCCTGCTGGGGACTGTAGGCTGGATCGCACAAAACCTGCTTTCCAGCAAGGGGCGGTGCATGCCCACAAGAGCGCTGGAGCAAGGTTATGGAGTGACACACGAAATAAACATTAAGCAGCAGGGCCCTTCCTGCAGCTGGGCTTCACCTGGAAAGAGCAAGGGCCATTTGGGCAAACGTCACGTGGGGCAGAAATCCACGGCCAGAGTACGAGGCATGTCGCGCCGCGTCTGACCTGCAGTGGCTGTTTGCTTGCAAGCCCAACTTGAGGGGCTGGCGCTGCCCCTTTATATCCAAATATTTGAACGCTCTCCTGCATCTCTTCTGGTGCTGGCTTATCTGCACATTAAGGTCAATCGAGCGCTTTCTCAGAATCCTGCCACGAGCAGAGGTGCTGGACACGTCCACGAACGCCTTCCTCGCGCCGGCTCCGTGCACCGGCACTGAGCTTCCACTTGGTTTGGCAACAGGTCGTTTTTTAACGAAATCGCCTAGGCTCAGTTGATGGTATTGTCTTCAGCTGGTTGGATCGATCTGTTTAAACGTTCCCTCCCTCAGTTTTATTGCTGCAATGTTTAATCTTTGCCTCTTTTGTCCTGTCAGTGACCAGACATTTATGTCTACCATCGCTAAAATCTATTATTATTAATTTTGCATAAAGGTGCAGTTTATGCACACATATTAGTTCGAAGAGCACGGCTGTGGAGCCTTCTGTTGAATGTATCTTTATTGCTGTGATTAGTGGAGCCTTGCTTAAACAAGAATTAATTTAGACACGGGGATTCGTAGCTGTCTGCGGGGTCGGCCACGGCGACTGGCGTGGCAGCACTGCTCGGGGCCACGGAGCGGTGCTGATGCTCCTCCCTGGTCTGCACAGCACCACTGAGATCCAGCTCCGGCAGCTGAAGCGCAGTCCCAGGACACCGGAGAGGAGGCCTGCGCTCCAGCTTGGGGGCCAAGGCCAGCAAAGCGCCAGTTCCTGCCTACCCGTGTGGCGCCACGGGACATCTCAGGATTTTCTCCTGTGAACAGAAACTGTCGAGGTGCTGCAAGAGGACCAGGGAGAGGGCACACGTCCCCCACGAGCGCCCCATGTGTTGATCAGCACGGAGAAAGGCGGCTGCCAGGTGCTGGGAGGTACAGCTGCTCCTCTCAGGGCTGGCCCTGCAGTTCCGGCCTCTCCGGCACCTGCTAGATCAAGAGGCCCGCAAGGTCTGGCAGGTCTGCATTCAGATCCGGGGTATTTGAGCTTTGCCGATCTTGCTTTCCTTAAGAACATTTGCAGACATATTTATTTTCAAGTGAGGGGGAGCCCAAAGGACGCCTGAGACACATGATTTCCAGGGCCCGTAGCCCTAATGTTTTAAAAAGGCCAAGCCGGGAAAGTACAATGGAAGTAACATTACGTTTAATTTTAAATGAGTAACGAACATGATTAGATCACCCCTGCAGAGACAACAGCACCCCTTTTGACGTCCTGGGCTGGGGGGAGCCACGCCCCAAGGAAGAACCCAGTGGGTGACTTTTCTCTGTTGGTATCCCAGGTACGAGGGGTTGCCTGCCATCCTCATCCGCGGCTGACTGAAGGTACACAACGCTGACCAGGACTTCGAGGCATGTTGCTTCCCACCTAAATGGACACCCGGACTGGCATCCCCTACTCTCCCCTGACTTGGTGCCCTCCAGATACGTTGGAAGACAGCTCTGCCCTTGGCCACGCTGGCTGGGAAGTGTGGGAGTTGTAGTCCAACACATCTGAAGGATGCTAGGGCTGGCGAAGCCTGCCTTGGGCCTTTCCTTCCTTTTCCAGAAGACGCCTCCCGAGAGCGCCACGGGCTTCTCTTCCTCGGGCCACCGTGCAGGAGTTTTCCCCTCACATTCCACTGCTCACGGGGTCTGGGCCACCGCAGCCTGTCCACCCCACTGGCGTCCCGGGCCCTGTGTTCACAGCATGGCTTCCATGTGCAAAATCTTCAAGGCTTCGGAGATCTGGGAGCTGGTGTCTACTTGTCCGTACATCCCGACCAGGAAGGCCCGCTGCAGCAGGACTGCGGCATGTTCTGCCACGGGGAGGAAGAAGACGTCGCAAAATCATTCTCTGACGACTCTTGCAACAGCCACCCCGTAACCTGACGCAGTGAAGAACGCGGTGACAGAACAAGTAAGGGGAACTGTGGGGGCTGCCTGGGGATGATGGGAGCCATAGCCCAGGATGTCTGAAAGAGGCCATAAAGAAGGCTGCTTTGGAGGAGGGGGTCAGCCATTAAAAGGAGGGCAAGAAAGAGACTAAATCCAGCATTTGCCCCAGACGATGGTTACTTACATTTACCGTGTTTGCATCCCTGTTTAGCTCGCAAAAGCCTCATGGCAGAACCCACAGGTGCCAGAGTTCACCTTAACCGTAGTTTTTTGCCTTACCGTCTTGCAAACGAGCAAACAAATTGGCTTTGTTCTGGACCGTTTGCCCCTGGATGGCTTCTCTCCCCGCTCAACTGCTCCCTCCCTCGTCTCCCAAATACCTTTGTGGTAGGGGACTGAAGAGCAGCTGGGCAACGCACCCATGAGCCACCCTGCTCAGGGTTCGCATGTAATGCCAACCCGCCATTTAGTCCCGCGAGAGCTAAATCTCACCACGTGGAACTGGCTTTCTGAAGCAGCCCAACTACAAAGCAGGGCTTAAAACCGGTGTTTGTCCATCCTAAAAAAAGGCCAAGTCCCGGCTGGGCATCGGTTGTTTCAGCAAGCAGCAGTCAACACGAGGCCGGAAGCCCCCCGCTTGCAAACAGCCCGTGGGTTGCTGATCATGGGCTGTCTGGTCCTGCCACCCAGGTGTTTCTGGGTTGCTCGTGTTTACAAAACAGGGCCTGTTAATGAGCTTGCATTTGCGGGTCGCATCAATCCAGAACGCAGAAAACCCGAGCAGTGGCTCGCGTTCTGTGAGCAGCAGGTCTCCGCCCCTCTTCAGACAGCACTCCGAGCACAACAGTGGAGCACCTCCACCCTCTGCCAAATTCAGGCTAGCTCCAGGATGCTGGGCCTGCACATGTCTTGGAAACCCCAACCCTCACCGGAAGCTGAGCTCTGACCCCCACATGCAGGTAAAATCTCTCTCCATCCAGGAGCATTCTTGCTGGCTGCCAAATCAAGTTTGGTTGCAGGGGCCTGGCCCTGCACATGGGCACGTTTTACTAACCCTAATCCTAACCCAAAGCTTCACACTCAGGAAGGGCCCCTCTTCATCCAACCTGCAGGCTGAAAGGCATTGCTCGCCGGGATGTGCTCAGTCTGGGCTGCTTCCAAGCTCTCAGCCTACATATGGACCCAGGTTTTTCTTACCCGCAACCTGAACCTTAAAATCCTTACAAGTTTGCCCAAAGGCAGGACTCCCGGCGTGCCCGATTAACGAAGCCTAGCATGGAAGCGTATCCCTACCAATCCAACGGATTCTGTTCCGCCTTGCTCGTGGCAGGGGTACGTGCCTTGGGCTTTTCTGCACCGGCAAAACCAAAAGCGAAGCACGGAGAGTGTGTGGAACTGCCTCCAGCTCTCCCCTGGCCCGCTCTGGAAGCCAGAGACGGCTCGGCAACACGCTGCGAGAAAGACCGCCTCGCCTCACCACCTCCGCTGCCTGTGTCAGACACTCCTTCGCCTGATGGGAGTTTCTGCCAATATTTGCCCGGGATCATGGAAAAGGTTGCCTGCTGACATTTGGCCGAGCGTGTGTGCGTGTGGCGTGCACCCGGGGCCCTCGCGCCAGCCCGTGTTTGCCAAATGGGCCGCAAAGGCTCTTCGAATCCTAAACCTGGCCCGCACACTTCCCAGGGAGCCGGAGAAGCAGCCTCTGGGGATCCGGCAGAAAATGCCAGGCGTGTTTTCAGAGCGGAAGGGGCGCAAGCAGCAGGGGGAGAACTGGGGGAGGACCGGTTTCCGAGGAGGGCTGTGGAGGGCGAGGACAAAGGCCGAGGGGAGGAGTGGACAGCCACCGAGAAGGGCATTCCGGGTGCGGGGTGGGGGCGGGAAGCCAGCTCAGTGGCAGGCCAACCTGGAACAACTCGCAAGCGCGCTGCGGGAGAGCCGAAGCACATGGCGTCTTGTCTCGCGCTGGACCTTAAGCACCGCGCCCGGGTTGGTTCTGCTCCCGAGCAGCACAGGCAATTCCCCTCGCCAGTCTCTCTCTCACAACAACGCTGCGAGGTAAGCCAGGACCAGCGGAGCAGGGCACGAGGCGCTTGCGGTGGGCCCGCAGCCGGCCGCTTCTCTGAGGGTCTGCAGGCCTCACAGCAGGGGTGGGGAGCCCCCGCCAGTCCCCGGGCCACGTTCAGTTTTGCAGCAGCTCTCGGGGGCTTGTTCCACTGGGGGTTGGGGCGAAGAGGGCAGGGCCACAGGCCACAAGGAGCGGCCTTTCAGAGTGGGGAGCGGGAAACAACCCAAAAATGGGAAGACCGCCGACCTGCAAGGGGAACGGCCAGGGGGCAGCACCCCAGAGAGCCAGACTAGGCCCCAGGCCTGAGCGCCGGCCTGTCCGCTTTACAGCATCCCTCCCTTCGCTCGAGACCTTGGGAAGGGCGCGCTCTCACCTTGGCAAAGCAGGGTGTACTCCGGCAGGCTCCGCAGGGCCGTCTGGACAACCTCGAAGTCGCAGCTGCCGAGGCAGTACATGAACGTGGGGAGGAAGTCGACTGCGATGCTGGGGTTTCGAGAGGAGAGAGTGGAGGGCGTCAGGCCGGAAGGTCCGTCAGCATCCCGTGCCGTGGAGTCCTCCTCCTGCCATGACGGCTCCCAGACCCCCTCCACAAATTTGTCTCCTGTGTCCTTTCAGGCCATCTCAGCCTGGGGGCCTTTGCCACCCTCTGTGCAAGTGAATCCCGTCTCACTTTCCAGATCCAATTCTATTCAGAGCCTACACCCCCCCCCCCGCAATATAAACAATAAATGACAAATCCAAAATCGTGCCAATAAATTACAGATTCAGCTCCGGCAACCTCAGCCTCGGTCTTGCACAAGCAGCACTGGGGCTAGGGCTGCTGTTCAGTTTTCTTCCTCACGGGGAAGGGGGCACGGGGAGCTTGGAGCCCCGGGCACTGCCAACAGTCCTGCTGCCAGCCGAACCGAGACGAGGCTGCAAAAGCAGGAGGCAGGAGGGGCCTTCCGGGGTTTGTGGTTTAGAAAGTCAGAGCAGGGCAGCCATTTGGACACGTCACTCCCAAGCGGGGAAAAATATACTGACACGGGAATGGGGGCGAGCATGTACAGGTGCGGGGGGGGGGGGGGCATTTCCTGGCGTTCCCCGGTGGTTGTGAGGATTCCGGTTCAAGCGGCTGAGCCCCCGAGAGCAATTCCTCCACCCCACCAGTCGCGTCCCCATTACCTGGGATTGTTCTGTATCGAGCGCAGAGCGAGGCTGAAGGCAAGGTTGCGGCAGGTTTCCTCAGGAGAGCTCATCAGCCGCTGCAGGTGAGTCTGCAAGGGGAAGAAGGAGAACTTGCTGCGGCCACCGGTTGCTCCTGCACTTCTCGCTTGCCAGCTGGCCGCCGCTGGGGCCACGCCACCTTCCTCCTCGCGGGTCGGTCTGGCTGGACGACACCCTGGCTCGCTGGAACGGCAGGGAATCCAGGCCACGCGGTCCAACCGCTGAGGTCACCCCGACATTCGCAAGTGCCATGTTCGCTTCTGGTTTATACTCTGGGGCATCCCTCGCCTCCCCTGGACGTGCGGGACTGCAAAGGCCATTTTTCAGCTGGCCGACTAAAACACACGGTGAGAGATGTAGTCCAGCGCATCCGAAAGCGCCAATGTAAGGGAAGGCTGCTTCTGGGTGCTGGGGGGACCCTGTTTCGGGAAGGCTGACGAGCATGTGACACCCCTCTCTGCACAGGAGAGGCTGAGCTTGTCAGAGGTAACATGTTGCTCTCTGTACACCGAAAAGTAAAAGTAATGCCATCAAGCGACACAGGAACAATCGCTGGTAAGCAACCCCCGTCTGTGGCCCTTCTACTTATTGAGTGGAGGCTTGAAAATTGTGAAACAAAAAGGGAAGCTGGAGTCTTGGGCCATTATTGTGTTTTTTAACAAAGCTTCTAATCGCTTGCATAGAATTTTAACTCGCCACAGGTGACTAGCTGCATAAAAAGTCTGAATGGAGTTGAGCCAGCATGCTGCCGTGGCTAGATCAGTGGACGGGCCTCAGGAGGCCCAGATTCTGGATCCCACTCAGCGATGAGGCTCACTGTGCGACTTGGGACCAGCTGCTGACTCTGAGTCAGATCTACTTCACCAGGCTGTTGTTGCGAGGATAAGCTGGAAATGAGGGTGACTAGGCAGGCATTTTGGGCTCCTTGCAAAAGAAAACATGACTTCTATATAGGCCACTATAAACAATAAATGACAAATCCATTACTGTGCCAATAAAACATACATTCCACTCAAGTGGTCAGAAACATTCTCTGTCAACCCTCTCACCAAAAACCTGGGGATACCCAACGTACAGAAAAGAAGGAGAGGATTTCTGGCCTCCGTCGGGACATCTCATCGACGTCAGTCAGAGCCTCCAAGATATCTGAGAAATGGGAAAAAGCAAAGACTTTGGAGTGATCAATTCCACCTCTCCCTGAACTGCCGAGGAAAGGGTGCCAGCGGATTCGTAAACTGAAAAGGAGCCCTGCCACGACTCCAGAAGCCCGGTGTGGAAGGTTCCCTGCTTGGAAGCTCCTCCGAGGAAGAGGAGGAGGTGGAGAGTGCCTTCACTTACCCTCTACAGTCTGGCCCCTGGAAAGCCTCTTCATGTAGGGGGACATCTCGGCTGGGGTGAGCGGAGTGAAGAGGGAGACGCTGACAAGGGGCAAAGAACCTGCCACTGCCTCATCTGAAGGGGGTGGGGGAGAGAGGGAGCGGGGGGGAGAGAGACTTCCTTAAGGTTCTGCATGGTACCAAAGCAAACATCCAGCAGCAGACCAGCCAACTCTCTCTGCTACTGTGGTGACTGGACAGAGGGCGGCACTGCAGCCGCCCGGGAATGAAGCAACAGGCAGGTCGCTCTGACGGAGCCGCCAGTCCGGTCTCCTTGCGCTGTCAAGGTGGGCCTCCTGCCCTGCCTTCTCACAGCTCCATGCCTGAGGAAGAGGCCTGGAGATCTTGCATGTGCCGTACTGGGGCTGGCCCGATAAGAACACGGCACCAAGATGGGTCCCGGAGGCGTGCACGGAAAAGGGACTGACCATCCCGCTCGTTGTCGGCCCCGCGGTCGGACGTGCCGTTCTTGCTGGGCGAGCTCAGCCCGGCCAGGAGAGACTTGAGCATGGCGAGGTCGCTGTTGTCCGACGAGAGGTCGCTGTGCAGAGGCAGGAGGGAAGCAGAGGGCGTTCAGAGCCGCTTCCGGCGGCCACTTCTCTCCCGCGACACTCCCAGCTGCACAGCCCGGACCTCCTGGGATACTCACTGGAGCGGATCGGAATGCTTCTGCAGGAAGGAGACGGCGGCCGGAGCATTGATGGTGATGTACTTGTGGATAAACTGCACAAACTTCGTGATGAAGGTGGCCAAGTGGCGGGAAGACTTCCTGTAGCTCTGCAGACAAAGCCAAGGTGAGCAAGGCGGATGCCGGGCAGCAGGCCAGGGGCCAAACCTTGTCCCACCGCCCCGAGGCCTCCTGGGAGCAGTCCACACGAGGGCGTGTGGGGCGGCGAGCCCCCTGTCCTCGGGCTCTGCCGCTGTGGGCTGCAGGCGAAGCCGGGATCGGCCCCGACTGCTCTGCAAGCGCCCCGCAAGTGGGCACAGGGCGGGTTCCGATTCCGAAGGGGGGGGGGGAAGCGCTGGCCAGCAGCCATGGATGTCGGCTGGGGAGACTGGCGGGAATGGCAGGGGCAGAGAGGAGGCAGACCGGCCGGGCCCCTTGAATCCTGGAGAATCCGGGCTGCGTGTGAAGAGAAGCAGGGGGTACTGGGGATGCCAGACCCCAAATTAAGCTGGCTTGCTTACAGGTCATTTGCATAATAAAAATAACTGATTAGAAATACGTTGACAGCCTGACTACAAAGAGAGCCGGGGGCCAGGCACCCCCTGAACAGGAACATGGCTCCTGAGAGTGTTAATTCGGTCCCTCAGGTTATCAGAGGGTTGCCCCGGCCATCAGATTCTCCGAGGGCTTCACTGGGCTTGGGGTCCTGCCCGCACGGAGCGCCCCAGGCGGAGCCTGAGCCTGGCCTAAGAGCGGCACAGCCCCGGAGGCACCCGGGGGCCGGGCTCCCGCCCTCTGGGGCCGCCGACCGGGTTCTCCTACCAGAAGCAGGCGGATGAAGGAGAGGAGACAGTCCCACAGCGCCCCCTGGTGCTCGCTCTGGAAGACCTGCGGCTGCAGCAGCTCCAAGATGCCCAGGACGTGGATGAAGAAGGTGAGGTGGTTCTGCTGGCGGAACTCCTGGAAGTTGAGGTGGACCCGGCCGTGCAGCAAGGCCGCGACCATCGGCAAGTGCCTGGGAGGGAAGGGAGCGCGGAGACGGCCCGCATCAGGGCAGGCTGGAGGTAGGTGCTGTGGCCGCGATTCCTCAGCGGGCGGCACCAGCACCTCTTTGCTCTCGCAAGAAGCCAAAGGAGCCTCGTGTGGCCTCTTCCTCTCACTTTCAGCCTGCGAGTCAGGCTAGGCCTTAGGCCCAGGTAAGCCACCCAGTGACCGTCACTGCCTGCCAAGCGGGGGACTCGAGCGCAGGCCCCCCAGGCGCCCCGCAGCACGCGACCGGCACGCACACGTGCCAAAGGCAGCCCTGCCCGGGCGGGTGCCTCTCCTCCAAACCGCTCCGCTGCTTCACGCACTGGTCCCACACTTCTCCAGTCCCATGTCTGCAGGGCCCCTTTGGAAATCTGCTGCCTGTTCAATCCCACGGAGGGGCCGAAAGACAGGCCCCAGGCCAGATCCCCCGAAGGCCCTGCCCCTGCCCCCAACCGCCAATCGTGCGGCCGTTTCATGGTTTCCGTGCAGCCTTTTCCCTGCATTTTCCATGGCGGAAACGCCTCTCCTGAGGCTCAGCTGCCGAGCGGAGAAGAGTTCAGGGAAGTGTTTCTGGCTTTCACTGTTCTGGCCCCACCCACCACTGGTCCTCGCTTGGGCCCCGGCCTCACCAGGCGGGCCTTGGGCAAGCCACTGGCGCTCAGCTTCGCTTGCCTCCACTTTCCACCCACCCTCCTTACGGGGGGCGTCACGACTGGCAGAAACGCTTGCCCAGGGCCCTCAGCTCTGCAACAAAGCCAAAGCACAGCAAGCATCCCGGGGGAGCACAAAGATCCTTCAAATAAACGAGCCAGAGCTTCTGCAAAGTTTGCAGACGGAGAGGAGAGGCGGGTGCCGGGCTGCTATTTGCTCTGTGTGGAGTTGGGTCTGTCCGTCGCTCCCTCTCAGCTGAACAGCAGCCAAACCCAGACAAAGGCACCATTGTTGGAACATCACTAGGCATGCGAGATCTAGGGCTGGGGGGCAGGGAAGAAGCGGGGCAGGACCGATGCCCGCCCGTCTGCTGGCTGGAGCGGAGCGCTTGGCTTTGCTCCGAGGAGGCCTGCCCTCCGCCTCCCGGGGGAACGAGTCTGCGGCACCCGAGGCTTCCAACCAAGCAACGACGAGCCGAACCTGAGCAGCAGGATAGGATGGGCCACCGCCAGCTTCCGACACGCCATGTTGGCATCCCACAGCCGGTTCTCGCTCATCTTCGAGTCGCCCGAGTCTGCCAGGAGGGTGATGAACCGGTGGATCAGGCCATCCAGCTGCGGGGAGAACGGATGGACGAGCGTGAGCGAGGGGGGGGCCGAAGGACATGGCCTCCGGGCAGTCATGGCAGCAGGAGCCCTGCACGAGAGGGCTCTGGAGGACGGCCGGGGGGAGAGGTGGCCGGCCGGGCAGGAGAGCCACCGGCTAGCTCTCCTCAAGCCGCCCAGAGGAACCGTGCTAACGTGTCTCGAAAAGCGGGGTGGGCGCTGGCGCCCTCTCCCTTGGCCGCTCAGTAGCATCACTGCTGGACAGTCTGGGCCCACCGGCCCTCAAGGACGGGCTGCTCCTGCCTGAACTGACCCACATCTTAGGCTCTTCTTTCAAAGGCCTGGTCCTGCACCGCTACCAGCAGAACAGGGCACTTTGGGGAGGGCCACGAAGGATGTGCGGCTCCCATCCTCAGGACCCGCCCCCCCCCCCCATTCCTCCCTTGCTGCTTTCTGAGCAGGAGGCCTCGGGGTGGGGAGGGGTGCTCTGTCCATCTCTGAGGACCGTGGGTTGTGACGGTCTCCACCCAAGTGGAATTTCAGCTGAGATTTGCACAATTAACTTGAGCTTCGTTTTATATGGGGCTATTTAAAAGAACAGTTGGAAAGCCCCCAGTGATCTTAGCCGGAAGAGGCAGCTGCACACATTTTAGTAAAATAAAGCGATTATAAAATGATGGCAGGAAGCAATTCCAAGGCTCCGCGGGGCGCGGGCAGGGGCAGGCTCCGACGCAAGGAGAGCCGTACTGAGAACCCGGGCGCCTCTGCACTGTGTGCGCCCAGCCAGCCGCTGCGCTTCTGTTCTCCACTCACGAGTCTGCGGCACGCTCGGTCAGAACACGTGACTGCCTCGGCAGTTCGGCTGGCACTGACTGGCAGCAGCTCTTCGAGGAGGCTGTCCCACCCTCCCGGGAAATGCACAGATTGCAGGAAAGAAGAGAACGGGGCTCCGCCGCTTGGCCACAGCCCCTCGCAGGTGCTGGCGCCTTACCTTGCAGGTGCTGCTTTCCGCAGCTCCTTCGCTGGACTGTAGGAGCTCCGGCACAGGGACCAGGAGCTCCGGCAGCTGAAGGTAGATTTGCAGGAGGAGGCCTTGGCAATGCTTTCCCATGGAGCTGAAACAGAAAGGGGGGAGGGGGGGCTCATGATGGCGGCTCCAACACACCCCTGTCTACGTGGAAGACCAGTCTGCTCAGAATCGTGCAACGCCAGGTCGCACCAGGGCGCCTTACCTGCCCCCCAGCTGCTGGATGCAGGACGCCAGGTGCTCGGCTACCTTTTTGATGCTCTCTATGTTTCCGTAGCAGCAGCTGAGCAGAAGCGGCAGCCTGGACTGGATGAGCGAGCAGGAGGCCTCTTTGCAATTCTGGCTCCTGGTCTCTGACTCCGCCAGGATCAGCTCCACGAGGCTGATCAGTTCGGGAGCTGTGAGCCGAAGCACAAACTCTTCCCGCCGTTTCTGCAGTGCGATTTGGAGAGGGCGGGAAAAACCACTGGTACCCCCGACACAAAGACGTCCACGATGACCTCAGAGCCGTCCACCGGGCTGCTGAAGCCCTGGGTGTCCCGCATCTAGCCGGGGTTAAGCCAAGTGGGTGGGCTAAACCCCCGTCACCCCTTGGGCTAAATTCCCTTTTGGAGATGGTCTTGGGGGCTACATCCCACTGGCACATGAGGCCAAAGGCAAAAATCCCCAAATCTCAACCTCAGGAGAAGCATCAAAGCGTCTCAGAAAGCAGGGAGAACGTACAAATGCCATGAAATCGCCAAGCGCTTGGCTTTTGCAGAACCTCAACGTGACAGATGGCAAGTGCCGGCAAGTGGCATCTGCACCTCTGACACGAGCCTGGCTTTGCTGGCCGGGGCTGACGGAAGCGCCCGGTGCAAACACCTGAAGGGCTGCACCCCTCCTTTAGGCTCCTTCTCGCCACCGCGGTGGGATCCACCATTACCTGAGGGATCCTCTGGTCTCGCCCTTGCCAGATCCGAGGGATGTGTATGCAGGCCCACAGGAAATCCAAGGAAGCGGTCGGGTCAAATCTGTAAGGAGGCCGAGAAAGCCAGGCTCTAAAAGGACCCAAGGGGCTGGATGGAGGGCAAGGTGCTCCTGCCCAGCCAAAACAGGCCCGGCAGCCGCATGCCTCCCCCTTCCGTGGAAAAAGCCACGGCGACAAAAGCACCTGCTTCTCCAGACTCTGCACCGTCTCGCACTTCCTGGGATATATAAGTTGCCAGGGCGACTTCTTTTATATTGTTATTAATTTTATATTGTTATTTTTGTATTTTACTTTATGTTGTGAGCCGCACCGAGGCTTCGGCGAATGGGGAGGCATAGAAATGTTTTAATAAATAAATAAATATCCCCAGGCAGAGAAACACTGCAGGCCAGCGGGAGGCGAAACATGAGGTGGTCTGTACTGGCAGGCAGAGTCCCAGCCTGAGAGATCCTCGGGTCTCGTGCCTGCCAGAGAGCCTCTGCCCTGGTGCTCACCCCTGGCGCTCACCCCTGGGGCAGAGGTGGCCTCCATTTCCAGGAGGCAGCAAACGAGCAGGCCAAACGCAAGCGACAGAAACCCGCGCACGTGCGGCTGCAGCACACGGAGGGACAGGTGCCGGGCGAGGGGGCCCAGTGCCATCCTGCGCACGCACAGGCAGGCCAGGCCAACCTGGCGCTCCAGAGCTGCTGCTGCTCGAGGCCAATCGTGCCGGGCAAGGGGACCAGGCCCGGAGGCTTCCGTGGTTCTCAACAACCTGCAGCCCGCTTTAGGCCTGCCAGGAGACCCTCCCTGCTCTTTCTCCCGGAAGGAGCCAGGGCTTCCCTCAAGGAAGGGGGCCTGGTCAGTGCTCCGCAGGCCCCGCCACCGAGCCTCCTGTGAACCAGCCGCTCTGCCGTCACGCCACCCGCGCGCACGGACAGCTCGGGGAGCCGCTCATCCCACGGGCGAGCGGGATGCCCCGACGCGTCCGGAGCGGCCCCGGCGGACTCGCCTGCTCTCGCGGTTCTTGCAGAGCACGGCCTTGATGCAGCGGTGCAGCGTGGCCCAGCTGGACTGGTGCGTCAGGACGGCCAGGAGGTACGGGCGGAAGGAGGGCGGCTCCGGCGTGCGGGGGCCCTTATCCTGGGGAGGGAAAGGAAGAAGGCCTGCTGGCGGCGTGAGTGCGTCGCGGAGGCGCTCGCTGGCCCGTGCCGCAGGAGCGTGCCTCGCCGAGGGAAGGAACGCCTGGGAAGGCCTGGGGACGAGAGGGGACGCTCTTGCGGGGCCCGGACGTTAGCAGGGCCTCCTGCTCACACGGCCGACTCGCCCCACCTGGCGGAGCCTCACCTTATTCCAGGAGAAGAGCAGCCTCTGCTGGAGGTCTGGGCAGCTGCTGATGACTTCCGGGTCCAGCAACTCCAGCCAGTCAATGAACAGGCCTGAGGAAGCCCCCGGCTGAGCCGCTTCGGTGCTGGAAGGCGACAGCGAGGCCGGGTGTAAAAACCGGTGGGGAAGGTTCGGCCCGGAAGAGCCAAATGGGCCCCTCCGCTCCTCCCTCTGGCCCACCTGAGGCTCTCCGGCTCCTCCTTCACAGGGATCTCGTCTTTGTCCTGGAGCAGCAACGAGCTCACCAAGGAAATGGGCCCGGAGGCGGGCAGGCGGGAAGAGGTCTCCATGGTCACCGAGAAGAGCGCTGCCAGGAGCTCCTCCAGGAACGGTGAGTGCGCTTCCGTCAGGCCTCGCAGCACTGGGGCGGCACATGGGGGCAAGAGCAGCTCGGAGGTTATGGGCGGAAGCACAGCAGATCGACGCCAGACCGCTCCCGGTTCATTGGCTGGGTTACCTGCTGCACCGTGTGGGCCGCGGAGCAGGGCCCGTGCGGGACAGAAAGGGGCAGGACGGGAAGCACCGGCCCTGGGAAGTCTGTGCAGCTCAGGAAGCAGGGACTGTTTTCCCCGCACAAACCAGGAGAGTGGCTGAAATTGTGTTTTTATGCACATATGATGCTGTGAGCCACCTAGAGAGCCTATGGCTAATGGGGCAGCATGCAAGGCAAATAAACATATGAATAAATAAATTGGTGGCAAAGGGCGAGAGCCGCTGCTGGAGAGAAGAGGCGGGCCCTGCAGGCTCCAGGGTTCAGCCTCGTCGCTTGCACATGCAGCGAAGGGGAAGAGAAACAGGAATTCGCTGGTTCCCGTTTCCTTCACCCCTTAGAACGGGTGCTGATCCCAAGGGCTGGGTGTTTCCAGAGAGTCCAAGAAGGGTGCGTTCCAGTGACGTGTGGGATCGAAGGAAAAAGCACTGTGGGTCAAAATGCAAAATGTGCTGGCCTAGTTTGGCTGGAAGCGCTTGCTGTCAGAAGCCACGTCTTGGGGATATCAGCCTTTTAGGAGAGGGCAACGAGCCGAGAGACAGGGACGCGGCCTCCTGGAGGACTACGAGGGGCTGGACGGGGCTCCACGGGCCGCCCTCGGGCTCAACCCCTCTGCGTGAGCAGCATCACTGGAAGGCCTACCTTTGCTGACCAGCTCCGGCTCCACGTTGAACTTCTCACCGGACTTCAGTGTGGTGATGATGGCGCAGACGGTGGAGCCGATCACGTCGGCGTTGTGGCGGAAAGCCAGTGCTTCTGCCAGGTGCAGAAACCCGCCCCGGACCGCCACTTGGAAGCGGGAAAGAGAAAAGGAAAAGAGCATCACGGAGAGGCCGTGGCAGGATATGCCGGCTCGGGATGGTGGGGGTTGCAGTTCAACGCCCCTGAAAAATACCAGGCCAAGCAAATCCACCGCCCAGGTTAACATCAGCCAAAAGAACGGTCTCTGTCCCCACAGAGCTTGCATTCTCTTGGGTTCGGATTCCTCATTCCCCGGGTCGTGCAAGGGCCTCGACTGCTCCTTCTCTTACCGTCATTGATCTTGTGCCTGGATGAATACTGGATGGCGAAGGACTTGAGCTGAGCCCGGAGGGGCCCCTCCTCCACGGCCGGGTTCTCCAGCCAGTGCAGTATCTGCATCAGGACTTTGAAGAAGAGCGAGGAGAAGGCCGTGTCGCGGGGCACGCAGCGCTGCAAGAGGCGGCGGAGGGAGGGGAGAGCCGGGATTGTGGGCGCGACACGGAACCAGCACAGGAGCCAGAGAGCGCAACTGGAAGGGCCTACGGCCCCGTCCATGTGGGGCCAGGAGGCCGTGAAGCGGGGCTCCCGGCCCACAGCCGAAGGACCAGCCGTGGCCCAGACGCCCCTCCCAAGGCAGGGCCTGCCACGACTGCTGCTCAGGCGGAGCAGCTCGCCTCCAACGGACGGGCGTGCAAAGCGCCTTCCCGCACGCGAGGGAAAGCGCCTTCGCTGTGGCCCCTTCCTGGCTCGCCCTTGCCGAAACAGTGCCGGCGCCAAGCTGACTGCCTTGCCAGCACCAGGTCCAAGGATTTTCACTGAGGATGTTTTGGTGGCTGGTTAAAAAGTCAAAACTGGCCGTTTCCGGGGCTAGTTTAATGGCTTTTAAAATGCTTCCTGACTGCACTCTCATTTTTACTGCATTATATTTATTTTATTTATTTATTGTTCGGTTTATATCCTGCCTTTTTCCTACAAAGGGCTCAAGGCAGCTTACATCATTCTCCTCCTCCATCTTATCCCCACAACCACCACCCTGTGAGGTAGGTTGGGCTGAGAGTCTGTGACTGGCCCAGAGTCACCCAGTTGGCTCCATGGCTGAGCAGGGACTCGAACCCGGATCGCCTGAGTCCCAGTCCCACGCTCTTGACCACCACACCACAGTAGATGACCACTTGAGGGCTTCCCGTATGCATCGCCCTCTCTCGCTCCTTTCGCCCTGTTGCTGAGAGGCAGGCTCACTTCCGACTCTGCCCCGGGGCCTGCCTCTCCAGGAACGAGGCCCCGCCAGCAACCCCCACCCCCAAGCCGGGCCAGGGTCCACACGCAGCCCCACACGCTGCGGAGGTGCCCCCAAGCCCTGCCGGCCCAAACAGAGCCCGCCCCCCGGAAGCAGGGCGCGCCCCCAGCGGCTCACCTGATACCGGCACAGCAGGCGCATGAGCGGGCAGGACACGACGCGGTGCCGGTGCATCGCCAGGACCAGGGCCCCGCCGTGCGGGGAGTTCAGCAGGGCCGCCAGAGCCTGCAGCAGCTGCGCCGCCATTCCCGGCACTGGGGCACCGCCTCGGCGGACCCGGGCCAGCTCCTGCCCCAGCGCCTGCTGCAAGGCCAGGGCGAGGGGCCGCGGGTTCGAGCTGGGCCACCGTGGCTCCGGCGCCAGTGGAAACAGCTGGCCAGGGAGGAGAACAGAGGGGTGCTCAGGGCAAGTGCCCAGGATGACCACGTTCCTGAATTTTTACTACAAAGCACAGCATTCGCGGCGCGCGAGCATTGCACAGGTCCCGATCCAAGTGCGACGAGGCCAAGCGCCCTGCCGCCAAGGCTCTGCTCAGCGGCCTGCTCTCCTGGGCTGGCCAGGGTGAACAGGGCAGGAGTGACCGGTGAACAGTGAACGTGGGTGTCCTCAGGGCAAAAAGGTCAGGCGTAAGGCATTTCCCTGGAAAGGATTAGGGAAGCGATCCTGCAAGGAGGACGCCCCGTTACTCCGAGACACTTGGAAAGCACCCCACTGATAGAGGTCCACACAGAATTCACCTTTTTCCCAAGGGCAAGAGACACGGCCGCATCAGGAACAAGCAAATGCCCATCCCACAACTAGCATACGTCCAGGGACACTGGGGGCCTCTCCATTCCCACACGGGGAGGGAGCTTGCGGGATGGGGGCTCCGAGGACGGAAGGCAGGCAAGCTCTGAACTTGACCTGGCCACTGGACCCGGAATGCGGAACATTCGCGCCCTCCCAGTCCTCACGAGGGACTGCTAGCGTCTCTCCCCCTGTACGGCTGTTTTGGCAAGAAGCTCTTTAGAGGAAGATTGGGACGCACTAGCGAGGTAACACCGGGCTTGGCATCTTGCACCTGCTCTGTATTTGTGTCGGACGAACTCTCCTTTGTGGTGTGCAAATGCCAAGCTAGGTCACGTTCTCTCTGGCAGTGCGTGTTAAACCCCAGTAAAGGAATTAAACCTCTGCAGGAAATTTGCCAGGCAAGCACCTCCTTTGGAGAAGAAGTGCTCCCCAAAATTACCTGGCATAAACATAAGCCTTCGCAGCTGGAGGAGCAGCTACACCTGCTCCTATTGCGATAATTATTCAGCAGGTCAGCCCCATTCACAAGACTTGCTTTTTTCTGGTTATCTTTAAAATCTGTGTCTCCCAGGCTCAGAGCAACCAACCAAGCCCGGATGGCGGCAAACCGTGCAGCAGATGCAGCCTAAACTCCACCGGAGGTGGGCAGGGAGAGGGGGAGAAAGAGGGAGGGCGGCACCACGAAATCTAGACGCTCCGCATGCGTGTGCACATTATTAGAGCCAGTACCTGGAGAAGAATGCTCGCCAAATCATCGTCTGGACCGAGGACTCGGATTTGGGCCAGCGCTCTGATCCTGCCCTGTCCCTGCAGGGCCTCCAGGTTGCTTTTGGGCCGGGGGGCATCGTCACTGTCTGGAGAGAGAAGAAAAAACACCTGGCTGGGGGGCAGTCTCTTTCTCCCCGCTTGCACACGCTGTTCAGGGAGCACAGGAATCGCGTGAGCCGAGCTGCCTGTGCCAAAGAGCCGCGCCAAAAAGCTACGGCGGGCCCGCAGCATTCCCGGATAGCAGAAGGGGGTGCCTTAATCATAAATTACCTACGTGCACGTCGAAGTTCTCAGATAAGGAACTTCTCCATGTTGGCTAGCGGGCTACATGCAAGAGGGTCTTTTTGGTGACAGCTCCCAGCCCTGGGATTCCTCTTTGTTTGTCTAAGAGGCCGAGTCAAAACGCGGTTGTTTAAGCGACTTTTTAAGACCTTGACAGTAGTCGGATTTTTAAAAAACCTTTTCACTGTTTCTAGCCCACACTTCCTCCAAAGAACGCAACCATCTTAACACAGATTTCTCTCCCCTACCTGCTTGCGCCTTGCAACACCTCTGCGAGGTGGGTTCAAGCTGAAGGAGTCAGCGAGAGAGCAGCTTAAGTCAGGAGCTGAACCTGGGTCTCCCCAGTCCTAGGCTGACACGGAAACGACTGCGCTCAGTTTGAGCTATTTTATGTCTGCTCTTTGTTTCTGCCTGTCAGTTTCATGGCATGCCAGTGTATTGCAGGCATTTTTTAGACTATGGATTAAGTTGTGCATTTTGTGGGTTGCTTTGCGTGTTCTGGAAGGGTCCTAGCAGAGATACTGCAACAAAAACCCAGTTACAAGCAGCACCCGCCGCCTATGAAAGGCCAGCGTGTCCTGGGGAACGTTTCTCACTGACATCCCACCCCGACACGCAAGCTTCCCCAGGGGCAGGGTGTGTCGAGTGCTTGTGGGGAGGGATGAGACTAGGAAACACGAGGGAGGGAAGACTGACCAATCTGCTCCCCGAAGGAGAGGCGATGACCATACCCCGGCGAGACGGCAGGGAGGCCGTGAGAAGGGAGTGGAAGGTCTGCCCCCCAGTAGCTCCTCTCTCATGCTGGACTTCCACAAGGTGCGCCATGTAATCTGGAAGAAAACAAGGAAGTAAGGCGGAGAGAGAAGACACATCCACCCAGAGAGACTCCCAGTGCTGGGCAGGCTGATTGAGCTCCTGCCACGGTCACCTCCCCGGAGCTGAGAAGTCGCACTCCGAGTCGCTCCCGTCGCGGCGGGACGTCGGGAAAAACTGGGGACTCACTCTTGTCCATGATGTTCTGCTCCAGCGTCTGAGGATCGTGGGACACAGCCTGATCCAGGTACTGCAGCAGCTTGCTCATGCTGGAGACGGGGATGCCGAAGGACTGGACGAAGAGCAGCAGCTGCTGGGGCTCGAGGTCCTGGAGTGCTGCAGGGAAGCACACGCGGTGGCAGGGCAGGCTCGCTTCCGGCTCGCTGCAGGCCACGGAGACGGCACTGCCCTTCATGCTGATCCCACCCCGCTGCCAAACCGCCCAAGCCCGAAACACGCAGCCGCAGCCGCTGGGTGAGGACAGCTCACACGCACACGGCAGTTGCTGAACCGGGGGCGCTCCCTCCGTAGCAAAGGGCCCCCGGCGTGCCTCCTGCTCCGTGCTGCGAAGGCCAGAACGCAGGTCTGCAAGCGTCTCCCTTACGTCCGAACCCCTGTGGCTGTTTTACTGGGCATGATTAAGCTTCTATCCCGCCTTTTCCCTTCCTGTACGGAGCCCATGTGAGTCACACGACCCCTCCCGCCTCCATGTCACCCTCCGTGGGCTGAGTGGGGCTTGCACGCAGACCTCAGAGCCTAGTTCGACACTCTAACCACTACACAACCCGGCCTCTCGGTGAATCATGCTGACCGCACGACTCCAGGTGGGCGTGTACAATCCTTGTCCTCTCCTCATAATGACCCCGTGAGGCAGGGCTGGGACGAGAGCGCAAGATTCTGGTTGTGCGCATGCCGCCGACGCCGGAGCTGAGACGATGCTCACCGGCATCCACCAAGCGGGGCACCTCCGAGCGGATCATGCGCAGCTTCAGCCAGTCTGGGAGGAGCAGGGCCTCCTCAGAGGTGTCCACCAGGAAGGCTGTCGGAAGCGGCTTCTTCTCCGGGAACCAGATGTCCAGCAAGGTGTAGAAGTCACCGTCCCCGGCTTTAAAGGAAGCGTTCGGAAAATTACTCTGCTTGGCTCTTAGCTAGCCAGTCAGTCAGGTTGCCTGGCTTTTTTTGACCCGTGGACATATTTTGGAATTTGAGAAGTGAAATGCCTCATCAGAGAATTGTTGCTGTGGGAGCAACCGGCCATATCTATGGATCTTAGGCTGGGTCTTGTGCTGAAAGAGCAGGTTTTGTGTCCACCAAACACCGCAATGCCTCTTTAACAAAGGAAAGTGTGGGAAGGCCTGCCTAGAGCCTTGCTCTTTTTAATGGATTTACAAGATGCTCTAAAACCTTCAGCCTGTTTTAAGGAAGTTAAAGGTAGCACCCCCTCTCTGGAAAAGCCCCAAAGCCAACCAACCTTTGAGCCAAAGGACCCCACCAAATTTTGAAATGTATGTCCATTTTGCAAAACAGACAAGCATACACAAGCCAGGCTGCTTCTGCAGGTCTGGAGAAGAAAGCAGCCAGATGGGGCCACCCACCGGAAATATTACAGCGCTACAAAGTTGGCTTCAGATACTCCGCCAGGTACAGATTTTATGCCAGCCTTTGCAACCATATGGCCCAAAAGCTTGTTTTTAAGGGGGGGAAAAGTGAGAGCAGATTTCTTGGAAGGTGAATTCTGCACTTGGTACTACATTCTCTGGGTTTCCTTGCCTGCAACACAAACAGCCCTATCAGAACATCCACGGATGCCCATTATGAGATTCCAAAGGCCTAGAAATCAATTTTCGCTCAGTAAGGCATAGTTATTGTCTTTCTACACTGTCCTTCTGAGGCCAAGGACTAAAGTTCACATGCACACAAATCAACCGATTAATCCCCAGTTTCTGCTTTTCCAGGCACTCGGGGCCTGACAAAGACACACAGCCAGCTCTGCAGCTCGCAGAAATGTCACGTCTGAGGCCTCCTCTAAATGCAAACCTTGCGGTGGCCCGAGTGTCAGCAGGATCACCATGGCGTGGACAACCAGTATGTGCATCGTCGCTGTTTCCCCACTAATCCAGCGGAGGAACACCTGATCTTGGGACTCCGACTAGGGCAGAGAGAGAGAGAGAACACCAAGTGAGCAGTAAAGCAAGGACAAGATGACAAAGGAGCTGAAGCTCAGGCCTTGGGGCCAAGTTTGGTCCTCAGAGTTCCTGGGGCAGTTGCAGGGGGAGCGGTGTGGTGGTTTCCTGGCGGTTACACGGTGTTTTCCCCCGTTCCAAAAGGTCCGAACACCTCTCCTATGATGCTGACAGCTAAAAGCACTTAGCTATATGTGGTGCTTTTTTAATTTCTGGATTTTGGCCCAGCCTACCTACCCCAGCTCCCCTGCCCACAAGAGTTTCACCAGAACTGCATGTGGCCCTTGGGCCAGAAATACATGAAATCAATCGGAACCTCCCCTGCTCTGTGCGAAAAGAGGTGGTCCCATACTGGGTGCCTCTCCTCAATGCTTCTGTGCCCCCCCACCCCCGAGCAGAGGGCCTCGGAGTGTCTCCTGAAACTCCCTACGCTTCTGAAGAAAACGGAATGTTGCTTATATGACCTACGGCTTATTTCATCGCTGCCTCGGCAGGGGCTTGCGGGCAAAGAACGGCAGAAAACAAGGGGAAATCAGAGGGAAGAGAAAGGGACACGCACCCAGCTGTAAACCTCCTCGCCTTCCTTGCTCTGGCGCATGCGCTTGATGTAGCAGGAGAAGATGGAGAGGAGCGCCACGAGCACGGCATCCGACTCGGAACAGTAGGAGAGCTTGGAGAAGAGGTGAGACATGATCGTGGAGCGCTCCACAATCAGCCGGGCCACATCCTGCCAAGGCAAGCAAGCAAGCGCGCCCGTCAGCTGTACCGCCTGAAGGGCACAGACCGCGGCCGGCTGTGAGGCCGGGCCCCGAAGGCCCCACCACGCCGGCGCCAGGTGCAATGCCAAAGCAGAGAGGGACGACTGAAGCTTCGGGGGGCTGTCGCGAGCTGTCGGGGTGCTGCCGGCTTGCGGCAACCCTATGAATGCCCGCCCTGCGGAGTGCCCGTCGGCCCTCGCTGCCCCGCTCAGCTCTCGCACACGCCACTGCCCGACTCTGCACTGACCCCATGACAACAGGGGAACGACTTCCAGTGTGGCCCAGCTGCAAGACCAGGCTTCGTCTCGCGCCCGGTTCAGTCCGCCGGTCGGTGGGGACTGTACCACAGGATTCCGCGGAGGAGAGGAGGGCCGGTGCCTCACCCAGCCAGGGCGAGGGGACAAACCACAAGGGAGGCAGAGCAATGAAGCCTGCAGGGCTTGCTGCACTGGCAACCGCAAAGTTCTGGTCCAGAAGACGGGCGCTAGCTATGAAGTTTATTACACTTGGTCTGTTAATTAGGATGTACATGTTCTGGTTTTATGAGTTTGCGGTTTTAATCACTGTACACCGTTCTGAGAGTGTTCGCTAAAGAACGGGTCATACAAACTTTAAATAGAATACGACCCTCTTCCTTGTATTTACAGTGTCCAGGTCATGGGAGTCACTGTTTCTGCAGCCAAGCCTAAAGCTGGGGGGTGTCAGCGGGCTCCAGGGATCCACACATTTGTAACACCCCTGAAAAAAGCACAGAGAGCTCCCCGCACACGTGAATTAAAGCCCCCGTTACGGAAAAATTGCGCACAGAAGAGACCCCTGTGGAGACCCCCCAGAGACAAGCTGCCAGGGGTGCGGGGCCCTCGGCTCGTGGCCCCTGCTGGGGGGGCCCCCTCACCAGAGCGAGCTCGTTGTGCTGGCCCTGGTCCTCCACTGGCGCGTACTGAGACAGGTACACCAGGTAAGCGCTGATGGCCTGCGGGTCCGTCTCCATGTGGATGGCCTGGAAGAAACGGGGACAAACACGCTCCAGCACACGCTCCTAAGCGCGCCTGGCAGTCTCCTTCGAAGCCTTTTTCGTCCTGTTGCTGGGGCCTTCAAGGAGTGTCCCTCTCACAGCAGGCATTAAAACGGCCTCGGCAATTAGAAACGTGACTCAGGCGGCAGCACAGAGCAGAACTAGATGCAGACTAGGAATGGCAAACCCCTGAATGGCTTTACTAAAAACACACCCAAGCAGCACGGATTTGGCCAGTGCGAGGCAACAGGGAGAGCGGGGCCACTCAGGATTTCAGGACAGTGTGTCCTACGACCGGAGTGCCACCACGGAGAAGGCCCCGTCTCACAACCTCAGGTGGCTGAGGAACGAGGAAGAGGACCTCACCTGAGGGTTGTGACATGCGGGCAGGCTCACAGGGGGAAGAGAGACCCTGGTTCTACATGGTCAGATGCAGGACTGGCATTAAGGCCAGTGAGACAACTAAAAATACTAGACCACCTGTGCCGAATCGGATCAAAGGCCGTCTTGGTCCCGAGGTGCCAAGGACCCAAGCCCAGCAGCCGCACCCACCCAGCCCACGTCCTCCGGCACCTGGCACCGAGAGGTATCTCGGGGCAGGCGCCTCCACCCCGAGGGCAAATGTCCCTTGCGCTTCACCCCTCCGCCCCAGGCCCTGACCTGCTGCAGCGCCACAGCAGTGGTCCCTCGGACGCCGTCGAACAGCGGCAGCTTCGGCAGGTCTCTCAGCAGCCACTGGTAGACCTGGAGGAGCTCCGTGTCACCTGGGTCTTCCTCCACTGGGTGCTCCTTCTCTTCCCGGTCGCGGAGTCCACCCTCCGAAAGCACCAAGGACAGGCCCTGTCGAGAAGGAAGAGCCCACTTTTTCCTACTGACACGAGCCTGGTCGCCTGGAGCGTCTGATGCAGGGAACACGCTGCAATGCTAGTCGTCAGACGACGGGACCAAACGGGTCGTGTGTCTGACCGTTCTCACAAACAGCAGGCAGACTGGCAAAGCTGTGCCACCTCAAACCAAAGGCAGGAGGGACGGCACCGCTGGATGGAAGCAGGGAACCCCCTGCATGGAGAAATGGGGCATTTTTACGGCAAAGGATGAGCTAGATCCCTTTGCAAATTGCTTTCTGAGCCCAGGGATTTTAGATGTATTTAACAGGGGGCCGTGTGCAATCCGAAAGTGGGCCGGTCAGGACCTAGGCTGACTGCCGCCACCAGCTGTGTGACAAGCAGCGTTCAGGGTCCCTGTCTCTACGAAGGACTTCGGAGCCCTTGTTACCGCATCTCTCCTGTCTCTGGAAGTCTGGTGCATCCAGCAACCACAGTAACACTCTATTTTCAAGCTCACCACTCTTTCTACACTCGTGCATGTCAAAAGAGCACTGAGAAAAGGCATTGGCACGCCGATTTCAAAACCAGCTTTGCAAAAGCGAACCAGAGCTAAGCGGGAGTAACCCAACCTTGCCCCAGGAAAAACCAAAGAGAACTGGAATACTTTGCGGCTGCAGAAAGGCCATCAAGTTGCGAAAGGGACACGACTCAGAGGTGAGGGCGCATGACAGCCTTGTGTTGCTGGTGCCCCTTCCTGCCAACAGTCTTCCTGTAAAGAGCTGGTGCCCAGACAGGCCACAGAAGCACAGCTCTCGCCTCCTTGCCCACCTTCATGGCCAGAACCCGCGAGGCCACCTGGGACGAGCTGAGCCGCCGCAGGAAGTAGTCCAGGACTTCGCACGTGGTCTGCTCGTCTGCCTTGGGCCCCAGCAGCAGGTCCTGGAGGCGGCTCAGCAGCTGCCTTTGCTTCTGCTGCCTCTGTGGAGAAAGACACCGTTGGAGCGTGGAGAAAAACCCGGGCATCTTTGCAGGAACGCCTTTTGGCGTCCCAGTTTTCCTGTTCTTCCCACCCTGCCAGCTTTCGTTGGTTCTTCCGATGGTGTCGCAGCAGTGGGAAACAAAATGTTGGACGAGGACAAAAGAATCCAGGGTTCAAATGCTACTTCAGCGCATGTCAGCATCTCAGAAGTGGGGGCTTCTCATTATGGTGCTGACCTCTGGAACACCCTCCCCTCATAAGACATTTTATTTATGTATTTAAAGCTTTTGTACGCTATCAGCACATGCCTCGGCATCTCGGGATGGCTCACAACACGTACAATTAAAACGATAAAACAATTCCTATAAATAACAAATACCACAAAAGATTATATAAAAACAAAAAAACCCAAAAAACAAAAAGAACAACTGTTAATGATAAAATCTTATTTTTTTAAAAATAGCAATTAAATAAAAAGGTTTTAACTTGGTGCCGAAAAGAAAATAAACTCAGCACCAGGTGCACCTCTCCAGGGAGTGCATTCCATAATCTGGGCACCACCGCAGAGAAGGCCCTGCTCCGGGTAGACGTTCTTACAGCAGGCTGAAAATGTGGGGCGTTTTAAAAGTCTCGCTTGCACGAACAGCCCACGGCTTGGAATCAGCTATTACGGGGCTTTGCCGTGCTAGCGTTTCTTTTCACTTTTGTAGTAATCACTGTTAATTCTTAACAGAACGTTTTGACAGCAGTTTTAAAGTTTTTGTACACAAATTGCTTAGCACGTCATTCTGCGAAGCGGTATACAAGTATTAGGAAATGCATAAATAAATAATATCAGTTATAAACGCTGCTAGAACGCCCAGGGAAAAGAAAGCAGAAGTCCTTGCGTGGCAGTAAAGGAAGGCCGCTGCTTGGTGAGGCGCATCCCACGCACCGGGTGCCACCAGTGCAACAAACAGTCCTTCCTTCGAACCACGGCTCACCACGAGTGAAACCCCAAGGAAAGCAAACCGAACGCCTCAGGTTCCACCCACCTGCCGCTTCTTAGCGCGCTGCTCTTTACTTTCTCCCTCCTCTTCCTCCTCGCCGGAGGCCGATTCATCAGCCGCATCATGCAGAAGGAACTCGCAAAGGCACTGCACTGGGAGAACGTCCAGGGACCCTTCGCTTGACTGAACCAGGTCTGCCAGCCACGGCATCGACTGGGAGGAAGCCTGGGAGAGAAGGGGGAGATGACCAGGGGAAGAGAAACGCAGGGACCCAGGGCGAACCCACTAACGCGTCAGCTCAGCCGCTGTCTGCTGAGGGAGGGAGGGAGGGAGAGTCCCACGGGAATCCTCATGCTGCCCCTTCCAGCTCTTCGACCACCCACCTGTCTCTGTATGATGTTGAGCAGGAAGTCGGGGTGCCTGCTGCGGCAGAGGAGGTGCCCCAAGTGAAGCGACTGGTTGAGGCTCTTCACCTGATCCAGGACAGGCTGAGGCGGCCGGCGGGGAGGACCCCTGGCGAAGGAAAAGAGGCGGCTTCTGCATCCCAGCATCAGCTCCATCGAGAAGCACGCAAAGGGAGGTAGCGCCTCCCCGGAGAGCAAGTGAACGGAGGGACTCCCCCTCTGCCGCCTCGCCTCGGCACCGCTTGACCGGGCTTCCAGGGTTCCCCCGCACCTTGGAAGGCCTGCCCAGGCTCCCCACTGGCCTGCCCCGCGCCTGCGCCCTCATGTCCCCGGCCCGGAAGAGCGAGAGAGGCTCACTGGGGGTCCAGGCTCGTCAGCTGCGACAGCAAGAGGCTGCTGCTCTCAGTGATCGTCTGCTTGGTGGAGGCGGCGGCCAGGTGCCCCTCAAAGGCTAGAATTTCCTGCTTCTCCCGCTGCGAGATCTGCAGCTCCCGGCTGATCATCTCCGTGCGGGTCTCTTCATCGGTCAGCGTGCACGGAGGGTAGGAGTAATTGCTGAAAGGGGCGGAAGAGTGAGCGGCAGCCGTGCTTTCCTGGGACGTTTGCATCAGTGTTTGCCGATGCAAAGGTGCTGAGGCACCCTGGGAATCTGGTCCTTGCGCTCAGCCTCCTGCTGGGCTCAGAGCGACCCAGCGTCCCGCTTTGCCGGAAATGCCAGGCCAGGAGACTCGCCTGTGAAGCCGCAGGGCAGGGGCAGGGGCAGGGGCAGGAGCGCCCACATATGGACCCAGGCACCGTGGCTCAGGCCTCTTCCAGGTCCTGTAATTCCAGCCTGCCTTGTCCCACGACAGGCCACAGTTTACTGGCGAGTTGGGCTCTGATCTAACAGGAGGGAACACTCGGAAACAGCACCTCTCCCAGCAGGCCAAAGGATACGTCGCACCGCATCGGAAGCCGGCTACAAGGCTGCATCAGGCCACCATCCTCGTGAGCCCAGGGCATCCGACCCTGCAGCCAGGGCAGAATGCGGCCTTCTGGGTTCCTGAAATGGCTCCAGCGCCTTTCCCCCATCCACAGTCGCCAGCTGTTGCATGGCTTCCTAGCTTTCGCGTGCGTCCTCCCTCGGTCCCGTTTGAAAAGGCTGAAGGGCCTCCCGCAAGGCTCAGCCGCGAGCAAGAACAGCTTTAAGCAGCAAAGGGAGGATGGCATCTGCAGCCCCATCCGTGCAAGGATCACAGAACGGCAGAGCTGGAAGGGGCCAAGGAGGCCATCTAGTCCAGCCCCCTGCTGTTGTTGCAGGACACCAAGTCACACCGTCCCACTCAGGTGGCTGTGCAAGTTCTTTTTTAATGCCTCCAGTGTGGGGGAGCCCCCCACCCCTCCAGGCAGCTGGTTCCACTGTCGTATTGCTCTGACAGTGAGGAAGCTTCTCCTGATGTCCAGCCTGAATCTGGGTTGTTGCAACTTGAGCAGATTGTTCCATGTCCTGCACTCTGGTATCAGCAAGAAGAGATCTTGATCTTCCTCTTTGCGACAGCCTTTGAGGGACTTCTAGAGGGATACCATGTCCCCCCTCAGTCTTCTCTTCACAAGGCTGAACATGCCCAGCTCCCTCAGTCTCTCCTCACAGGGCAGAGTTTCCAGACCCTCCATCATTTTTGCTCCCCTCCTCTGGACCCTTTCTAATTTACCTGCCTCTTCCTTCAATCTTGGTGTCCAGAACTGGACACAGCACTCCAGGTGAGGCCTGACGAGTGAGGAGTATGGAGGAACTACTATTTCTCGTAATTTGGAAGTGATACTTCTGTTAATGCATCCCAAAAGTGGATCCCCAAGAGCTTCTCTGACAAGGCATTTGGCTGTCAGCCCGAAAGAGGCTCACAGCCCGATGGGGCAGGGGTGACTCACTCACTTGGTCATCACCATCTCCATGAGCATCTTCAGTGTGGGATACTCCTCCCAGGCAGCGAGGCCTACGATGCAAACAGAGGGAAGCGGGGGCTGAGGGGGGGTGACGAACAGCTCAGGAAGCCCGTGTGGGACACTCGAGTGGCTTCCTCCCCAAGACGCGGTGCAGCAGCACTGTCACGCTCACCTATGTTTTCGGGATTGAAGGCGGCGACGACGAGCAGAAGCGGCCACGCTTTCCAGTAGAGAGTCGAAATGGCCAGATTGGGAGGCTGATAGCTGGGAAGCAAGCAGATCCAAAAATGTGACACAACCCGCATTTAGCAACAACGCAAAACTGCTGGAACGTTTCAAAGAGACGCACTCAGAAGGCACTGCCTGCGCTTGGGGGCTCGCTGCACTTGCATTTCAGGGCCCCGCGTTTCCCATTTCAAAGAACGCAGTGGCAATTCTCTCCAGCACAGAGTGGGGCACCTGGAAACTCACCCAGGGGGCAGCTGGATATTCTCCGGATGGTGGTAAGTGCACAGGTTCAAAACTGCATCGATTAGCTGGATCCTCTCCACTCTCAGGACTTCTAGATCTGAGGGGAAACAGGGGCAGATGATGGCCAGGACGACTGTTTGTTCAGTTCATGCAGAGGCAATTGAAAAGCTGCCGCATTCGCCTTCCAGGACACAAACCAGCAGGGGCCCTGGCTGAAGAGGGGTCGTCTCAGCAGAGGGCAAAGAGGCCGGGTACAAAGGCGGGCACAGCCTGAATATGGAATACAGGTGCTTTGCGAAGGCAGGACTCGCGCTGCTTAGTGCCTGGAAGGAAGACGGTGCAACTCCGGAAGATGTTCTTGTTCCGGGTGGCGGAAGGGGAGCCGAGGGTTTTACCGTCTGCCTGCACAGCGGCGGCCCGCTTCACCAGGTGGTCAGCCAGCTCCATGGCGTCGGCCGGACCGAGGGGGAGGTCGCGCGAGAGCCCGATGACGAGGATGCGCATGAGCGTGTCTTCAAGGATCGGCACTTCAGAGCAGAGGCGGAGGAAGAAGCTGCGGCGAGGGAAAGAGGGTGGGGGACTGAGGGGCTTCCAGGTGGCCCATACGGGGGGGGGGGGGGGGAGACCGTCCAATGGGAGTGCAGGAGAGCTGCGCAGGAGCCCACTGGCAACACAGGCCCCCTGTTCACGGGGCTCTGGGCGCAAGCGGGGCCGGCCAGGCTTACTTGCGGTCGCTCTCGGGGGGCCAGTTGTCCCATTTGTAGTAGGTCTCCGGCTGCTCCGTGAACAGCACCTTGTGCAGGCTGTTTCGAAGGAAAGCGGGGAGAAACGTCAGGCGTGGCTGGGTGGGGAGGCCGCCGCGGGGAAGGGGAGCTGTGCCCGGCGCCCGTGCCCCCCGCGGCTCCGTGGCTCACCAGTGCACGTACTCCTTGGGGGGCAGCTTGGTGATCGAGGGAACCACGGTGTGCAGCCACCAGACGGTGTCTCTCTGAACCGCGGCGATCTGGTTCTGGAAGGCACGCAGCACCTCCAAGTCTGGGCAAAAGCAAGGGGGGGAAGCAGGCGGGGTGAGCGCTGCCGGGCTCTGCGGCCGTGGGGGCACACGTGGACGCCCGCCGGGCAGAACCGGGGCTGCAGGACGGAATCGGGCCGATCGTGAACCCCTTCCAAGAAGAGGAGCGAGGTTCCCGACCGGCCTTCCCAACGCTGCTGCCCCTCAGTTGTGCTAGGGCCACAGTTCCCATGATCCCCCAAGCAGGGGGATTGTTGGAGCCGCAGTCCAAACGACAGAGGTGCAGCTGGACTCACGAGGACCCCGGCGGCACCTCGTGCACGGGCTCTGGCAGCGAGCGCGACTGAGAGCCTCTCCTCGGCGGAGGCGAGCCGGGCGGAAGAGAGACTTACTCTTCTTCTCCCCTTTGTCCCACGCGATCCCAGCTTCCTTCACCTGGGCGGTGATGCTGAGCATCATGGAGACGGCCAGCAGGTCCGTGATGTGGATGACGAACCGGTCCTAGCAGGAGGGAGAGACGCCGTCACCCACACCCTGACCGAGTCGCAGAGCAAAGGGCCCCGTGTGGGAATGGGGGGCAGGCCCACGGCTCCATCCGTGACTGCATGGACATGCAGTGGGGTGGCCTGCCAGCATGGCGGTGGGGGAGGCCCCTGGACGAGCAAGGCCACTGGATGCCTATCGGAGCTGCACAAGCACCCTCCTTGCTTTGAAGGGGGCGGTGCTGGGGCTGAAGACTGGAGGGACCCAGCGTGAAGCCAGCGGCACTTGCCCGCCTTCGGACGGAGCGGAAGGAACAAATCTTTCCTGGACAGCCCAACGCATTTAGTGGGAGCACCACAGATGTGCGTTAGCGAGGAAGACAGGCGGAAGAACGCAGAGAGGTGAGGCAAGAAATCAAATGTTCTGGGTGGGAGTGATCTCCGGCACGGCATTTCGCCCAGTAAAGAGCAAGGAGAAAAGGAGAGCACAGAGCACCCGAAGAGCTGGAAGGAGCACAGCGAGGTCGCCAGCATCAGCTCAGAGAAAACGCTGGGGCGTGTGCCCTGGGCGCCCCTTTGGCAGTTGGAGAGGAGGGAGGGACCCTGACCTTGAACTCCATCTCGGCGTACTGGGCCTCCTTCCGCTCCTGCATGAGGCCCAGGCAGAACGCCTGGAAGTTGATCTCGTGCTTGGTCTGCTTGATGATCTCCCGCAGCAAGGCCCGCGACGCCCGCAGGTAATCATCTTTGTTCGTCAGCAGGTCCTGGAACACCATCGCTAGGAACTGGGGGGGGGGGGAGAGCCCCGGGTGATGCGATCAGCCACGGAGGCGGGTCAGGCGGGAAAGCAACTCAGCCACGGAAAGGGTTAGCTAAACCACAGCGATGCTGGCGGAGCTTAGGAGCCAGTGTGGAGCAGAGGCTGGGAACGCTGGGCTGGGACTGGAAGGACGAGGGTCCTCGTCCCCGCTCGGCCATGGAGCCCTTCAGGGGACTCTGGCTGAGGCCCTAACGCTCAGCCTAGGCTACCTCGCAGGGCTGTTGTGAGGAGGCGGTCCCTTGGAGCAAGGGGAGGGTATACATTGAACAAGTGAAATCCAGAAGCTCGTGGAGAACCTTCGGGAGAAAGCCCCGTGGCTGCTGTGCGGGAAACAGACTTGGCAAGACCAGGGTCCATCCTGACCCCCCTTTGCGAGGCTGCTTCATGCCGCTTGGCTGGACTCCGAGGCTGAGGTGGAAAAAGCGGTGACGGCAGAATCCGCAGCATCCTGCACAGGAAACGGCAGGTGGGGAACTGGCCAGGCATTCCCCAGGCCCTCCTCGAAGCTGCCTTCAGCACTGCCAAGCAGCCTTCGAAAGGCAGGGAATCCCAGAGAACACCCACCGCTTTCCTTCCAGCGAATGCATTTATTTTGCTTTATTCCGAGGCCTTTTGATGCAGGAGCCCTCCCGGGGCCGCTCGCAGCTTTACGGGCACCATTTGGATGGGTGAGGAGGGCGGAACCGGCAGCCTCCTTGAACGTTACCAGTTGTAGGGTTTTCCCTGGATAGGGCTGCACCCCAATATTCGTACCATTCAGACACAACAACAGAGCAGCAAATATTCCCCAAACGCCTGCACTAAATCCGTCGGAAAAGCCTGCAGCGTGAGTGCAGCCGCAGAGCCAGACAGCTGCGCAAAACCCGGTCGGGCAGGTACGGGGCAGCGGCGGCGCAGAAGGTGAATGGCGGCGCGCAAGACGTGCCCGCGCCCCCGCCTGGCCGGCGGGCGTTTGCCGAGCCGGGCCAGCCTACCTTTGGGGCCAGCTCGGGGCTGTGCTGGAGGACCGTGTAGAGGATCTGCATGTTGTTGGGGTTCCGGGCGTTGGAGAGCTCGTTGAAAATCACGGACTTGACCACGGTGCCCAGGTTGTCCCGGTGGGCGTTCAGCAGCTCCCTGCAGGGGATGAGGCTCGAGGTGACCATGCATGGCCAACCGCTCGACCGAGGGTTGCTCTCCCCATCCCAAACGCACACGCCCAGCGCGTACGGGGCAGCGTACAAATTAGTAAGCTTAAATAAAGGAATCTCTACCCTATCAGCTGCTGCTCAGCCCCCCCCCCTTTTTCTAACCTCTGCCCCTCCCCACAGCCCCTCTCCCACGAGCAGGAACAGGTCTGCCTCTGCCCGTGCTTCGAGGGCTCAGCGACACGTCCCCACCGCCCCACGCCCGCCAGCGTACCGGACACAGAGCATGTACTGATGGAGGAGGAGCTTGGGTTTCAAGCGGATTTTGATCAGGTTGGAGACCACCTCCACGTCCTCGGAGCCGTGGGTGTTGCAGTTCATGCAGACCGACATGAGCAGGTCCTGGGCTGGCCTGGTGAGCTGAAGCGGGGAGACGCCTTAGCGGGGGAGGCACGGCGCCGGGGCAAGCCTCACACTCACCCCATAGACGCGGGCAGGCCGCTCGGCCCACAGCTCTTCAAGCGCTCGGGCAGGGAAGCCGTTTCCTCCCCGTCACCTGCTACGCCTGGAGGTGCGAGGGCTGGGCCTGGGACGTTTCTGCAGGCAAAGCAGGGCCTCTTCCGTGGAGCTACTGGAGGTCCAGCCTCAGTCCTACTTCGCAAAGCTCAGGCCGGGAGCAGCTCTCCAGGGACCCCACGGACAGCGCTCCCATCACCTGCTCCTCAAAACTGATGTTTGAAGCCAGAAATGAACTGGGCACTGTCTGAAGGCAAATCCAGAGAGCCACCCCAAAGCCACAACCATCTCCTGAAACGGCGAGGCTGCCATTCACCCTTCAATCACCTCGGAAGGCCAGCAAACCAGAGCTCTGAGAACTCCCAGAAACCACCCACTCAGGAACGGATTCCTGCAGCTCCCCAAACCACCAGAGTGGATCTTAGAATTTGGAGTAAATTCTATAATCTGCTCCCGAGATGAGACAGCCTCGAGACGCAACCTCCCCTGGCATGGGCTGCATCCCCAAAATAAGTTTGCCAGCATGGAGCTCCTTGCCTAGTCCCCAGAAAGCTCAGAGCCACAGCTGCAATGGATAGAGCCCCGCAGGCACGGGGTGCTCAGCCTCCCCGGTTCGTGGAAGGAGGCTGCTCCATTCACAGTGGGGCTGGCAACCCATCCTTGGGAAGGTCGGAACAAAAGCTGCAGTGGTTGAGAAGCCCCAGGAACGCTGGCAGGGATGAGATGCCCACCCTGTCCCTCCCCCAGGCCAAAGCACCGGAGGACTGGAGCCAAGGGAAGGGGGCTTTACCTTGGGGTTCTGCAGCCACATCTCCAGCCTCTGCACGGCCATCTGCCGGATCTCCTTGTAGCCACAGGTGGCCGTCAGCAGGCGCAGGAGATTCCGGGAGACGTTATCCATGGGCTGGCGCCGGTTGAGCTGGTCCCGCAGCATGTCCAGGACGTACTCCTCCACGCTCTCCGCGAGGTCCTCGTACCTGGGCCGGACACAGGGCTGCGTGGGCCAAGTCCCCTCTGCGGTTCGGAGTACACCTGGCGACCCGGGCTCAGGGTGGGCCGGGGAGCACAGGCCAAGGAAAAGCGGGGCAGCCCGCAGGTGGCAAACGGCGAGGCCTCCGTGGCTACCCATGATTAGCAGCCCACAGTTAAACCACGGGGCAACCCCCAGTTCAACGACGAGTGCCAAATCCACTCGTCCTCTCAACGACTCTGTGCAAACCAAGGCACAGTTTCTTATTCAGCGGGGGAAGGCCATTTCACAAACAAATCCAGCCTTTATGAACGGCTGTGCGTCACTTTTAACAATTCTGCATCAGATTTCCTTTGCCGGTTCAAAAAGCGCTCCCCAGCCACCTCCTTCGACTTCAACAGAGCTGCAAGGGGCTGCACGCGTGTTGCACACGCACAGACCTCGCTGCTGCCACGCTCGAGGCACTCCCCTCCCCCGAAGCGCCTTTCGCTCATAGGAGGCCGTCAAAAACCCGAGCAGAGCCACCTGGCCGGGTATCGCCTGCACTGACTTTGCAATGGGTCCCGAGCGCAGAGGGGCGCCAGCTTTTTACCTGGGCATCAGCTGTCCCTCCTGCTCAGGGCTCATCTTGTCTTCGGCGATCAGCAGCTCACTCTGGCTGTCCTCCTCCTCTGGCACGGAGGGATGTGGGCTGTTGCCTGACAGAAGGAGAACGCACAGGGAAGCGCACACGCTGGCTGCCACGACAAACACGAGGCTTGCATTCTGCTCCCACTTTGCTCCTCCGCAAGTGAGCATCCCAGAATGTTTTGCTTGCATCCATCATGGCCTGCAGCGTAGGGCCTGAATACAGTGCTAAGCTGTGACTAATCTTCAAGAACTTTGCTGAACCACCTTCATAAACTACAGTTTAAAATGGCTTTCTTCAGAGTAGAATTTTATTACCACAGGTCAGATTTGGGGCAGCTGAATATCAAAATCAGAAGCTTCACAATTCCTCCTAGGGGCCTTGATGCAAGATGGCTGTTGAGTGGATCAATTTCTTGTCACAATTCCTTGAAGCCACAGATTTGAAATTAAAAGAAGCCCTGGTTCAATTTTTGAGGCTGTCTTGGTTTTGATTTCTTCTAGTAGAACAGGAAATGAGTGATGGCTTTCCATTATTTAAATGACATCCATGTGATCATTTAAAAGTAGAGAGTAATTCAACTACAATTAGCATTATTTTAACTGACGGGCAGCTCAATGAAATGACTCCTCCTAATTCCACCCCCAGCTCTTGGGGGCTTCTTTGCCTTTCCCTCCCGTGCCAAAACTCACACTACCCTCGTCTACCCTCCGAGTAACTATTTTACCAGCACTAAGATCCCCTCCGCTGCGGCCAACCTCCCCGTGCAACAAAATGCTTTTTGGGGGCATTCGGGTGCTGAACGCCGTCTGGATGTTCTCCACAAAGGTCTTGCAGTGGGGGCTGTCCACCCAGATGCGCTCCCCCAGCGAGTCCTCAATGTACACCTGCAGGGAAGGGAAACAGGGACACCTCTTCATTGCATCACATCACCAAGCACCCCGGAAGAGCGGGCTACTGCCTTAAATCCTGAAAGTCCACAGTCAAGAGAACCAAGACACTGTGCATCAGAAGAGGCCTTTGTGGGGTTGGATGGGGGGAATCTGGCCACCTGCACTGCTGTTGACTGGTCAAGACTGCTACAATGCACTCCGCATGGGGCTGCCCCTGAAGACTGTCCAGAAGCGGCAGCTTGCGCAAAGTGCAGCAGCCAAATTAAAACAAGGACAGCGGGGAAAGACAAATAGCCCTGATTAACTGCCTTAAAAAGCTTCAGCTTTCAGGTAGTATATAAATGAAATAAATGCTCTGAAAGAACAGCCAGAGAGCTACAGAGCAGCAGGTCAACAGGTTGGCATCTGCAGGAGATGGAGAAAAGCAGGGCTTCCTCCACAGCTCTGTGAGCAACCGGCCGCATCGGTTCCTCCCTACACTGTCACCTAGCAGCAACAGCGTCAGGCTGCGGCAGAGGCACAACTGGAATAGCAGGGCCATTCACCTGCTGCACTGAAACACCAGCGCCACTTGCCTCTGGCTTTTTCCTGCTGTCTGCATGCAATGTGGTCACTGCAAGGACCTTGTGCCGTTAAGTAACAGTTTCCGTGCTTGTTTTCCTCTTGGCTCCCCACCCCATTTTCCTTCTGTGCAATCTTTTTTAGGTTGTAAGTCAATCTTGCCAGTTCCTGATCTTGTGTAAAGATCAGCTTTCATGCCGAACAGCAGGGCAGAGAGGTTTTAACAAACAACCTGAATAATATTTAAAGCTCCAGGGGCTGAGAAAGCTTTTGCCCGCCCCCAGCCTTTGTGGTTTCCCACAGGAACGCTGCTCTCTACTTGACACACCTTGACAAAGATCTCGGGCCAGTTCTCGTCCTCCTCGTATGCTGCCATGAGAAGGTTGCAAGCCAAGACGGACACCAGGCTGTTCCCTTTGGCTTTGAAGTTAATGGAGGCATCTCGACGGAGAAGACTGCACAGAGCCTACAATATCAAAACACCCATGAGCACAAAGCCAAGTCTGGGCACCACCCTCGATCTGGATTGGCAAACCCGTGAAAAAATCCAAACCCTTTGGAGGTTCCAAGCCCCCAAAAGGACAAGTCAGATACAATCCTAAACACACAATTTACCACAATAGGAACATAGAAAGCAGCCTCACACCAGCTTCTTCCTACTACTCATTTCAAAATCAAACTATTTCATTTCCCCTTTTTTAATACACAATTGCTCAGGAAACTAAAACAAAACAAAACATGCAGGCTCCACATTTCTGCTCTTGCTATGCAGGGACACATTGCACTCTCACCTCAATGACGCCTTCTGTGGCAAAAATGTTGGGTTTGATTTTTGCCAGGTACATCAGGCTCAGGTACAGCGTTGTGTCAGGCTTGGCTCGATTCATCTTCAGCTGCTTCACAGCCCCGCACAGCACCCCTTCGATGCGGTCGTCGTTGCCTTCGGCTTCCGCAGCCTCAATCTCGTCCAACAGGACGGTCGGGGCCACTGCGAACAGAGGCAAGCCAGCATGGACCTTTCTACAGGAGAGGTGCTGCCCCTCTTTCTGCCTGGATTCCACACCTGAGCAGCTCTTGCAAGGCGCAACCCGGTGGTGAGCAGCAGGGCCAGAGGAAGAACGCAGTGGCACCACAAGCGAAGGGGGCAGGGCACACATCTCAGCCCACTGCAGTTCACATCTCTCGGTGCGAGCAAGGAAGTGGAGAAACTACCAAGCAATCCCTGATTGAAGGACGGGAGGTGCGGCCTTCTCAGCGCTTGCACCCTTGTTCTGTGATCTGAGCATCACCGATCGGCAGCGGTACTCTTACCCTGCCACAGCTACTACTACGCGAGGTACGTGCCAATGACATCCAGAGAACATCACAGAGGTGGAAACCGTTTCCACGAACAACCTCAAAGCAAGCCACGCTTTCTGCCAAGCACAAGCTGCAAATCACATCCCGGGCACACCGCCACAGGGCGGGCAGGTCAGCGGGCACTAGTGGGAGGCCCCGGGTGCCCCTCAACAGCGCCAGCCACAACCGATGATGAAAGCACAGCCCCTTGCTCAAGCTGGGCCGCCACGACCGAGGAGGGCGAGGCGCCCGCGGGCTCCACGTACCTTCGATGGGGATCACCGACGGCTCCTTGATGGAAGGCGAGATGGCCCGCTTCTCGGCCACGGCGGCCTCTGCCAGGCGCCCCAGGGCGCTGAGCGGCGGCGTCGAGGACAGTTTGGGGCGCTTGGCCAGCCCCGCCAGCCCCGCGGCCCCGGACAGCGCCGCGGCGGCCTCCCGCTTCCGCTCCGAGGGCAGCCCGGCCGCGGCCGGCTTGAGCAGCGCGACCGCCGCCTTCGACTCGCCGGCCTGGCCCTTCGAGCCCAGCGCGATGAAGTCCCCGGGCGGCGGGTGGCCTAGGGGCA